AATAACAGGTTATGATAGAGTGTTTTATCCAGAGTGTAAAAAGTGGGTTAAGGTTCCATCATGGAGGTTAAGCTCAGAGCTCAGGAGCACCTTGCAAATGACAAACACAGATGTATGAGGTGAAGGCTGACAGATGGGTCCTGACAACAGTTGAATGGAGACGGGTTGCATCACCAACCAAGCCCTCAGTAGTACGAACTGACCCACTGGCTACAACACTGAGTTCAAACATAGTCACAATTATGAAGATGGTTTAGGACCACCAGGTAGGGTTTTGTTCATAGAGTCACTATGCAAAAAAGGAGGGAGCTCTGGTGGCTTAGTGGTCAGAAGCTGTGCTGCAATCTCAAAGGCACATGGTTCAAATCCATCAGCTATTCCGTGGGAGAAGGATGTGAAATTTCCTTTTGTACAATTTACTGCATCTGGAAACACTCGGTTTCAACTCTAGGGCACACAGTAACAGCATGATAAATGGGTGCTTTTTGGAGGCAAGGATGCTGAAACTTCTTACACAAATTGGACTTGTTGACAAGAAAGACCAGTTCTTGGAAAAAGGTAGCATGCTGGGAAAGTTGGAGGGTCAAAAAAAAGGGGGGGGACCCTTTAAGAGATGGATTGATGTGTAACTGGGCTGTAACATGTTGGAGATCATGAAGGTCATGTATGACAGAACAAGGTTTAGATCTGTTGTTCATAGGGCTGTTGTGTGACATAGTGGACTTGATGGCACATAACAACAACAACATGAGTTACGACTGAATAACACCTGACTACTAGCACCCTTCAGAAGTCCACTACTGCTGTAGGTTGGTACATGTCTGAACAGAACATTGACTGATTGTCTCAACCTAAAAATATAATCTCAGCTCAATCTACAAGTAATAGTGTGGATAGATTTACTAGATTGCCTGACTGATGTTTTTCTTAAAGTAGAAAAACTCTTACTTTAAAAATATTGCAAGGAAATTAACCTATAAAAAACCTAAAATTATGGAGTTCATGTTGACTAGAAATGTATTCTCTTAACAGATATCAAATTTTATTTTTTTTGCTTAATATCCCCAAACCAGGGATTTCTGGGGGCTTTAATGGTAAGGAGTTGTACTGGCAATCCAAAGATTCATGGTTCGAATCCACCAATGTTTCTTAACAGATAGATATAGAGCTAGAAATAGTCCATACCTACATTGAAATGTTATTTTCCTAGGAGGACTATATTGGGGACATTTTTAAAGAATATTATTTCAGTAATTCAGGAATGTATTGGGTCACTATTGTATACAAAGTGGATCTGTGTGCCAAGGATGATGACAATAAAGAGAAGTGTGAAGTAGTCTGGACTTCTGTTATCTCCATTGGTTTTAATGGTCAGGGCTTTAGTTGGAAAATGATACTCTTCAAGTGAAGAAGATCTCAGATAAGCTGAGTGAAAGGAAAGGCAGCACACAATGAGAGGTTGATTAGACAATGTAATAAATTAACCACATTGTTGTTATGTGACTGACTCACAGTTGCTCTTCCACTGGTTATTCAGAGATAGTAAATCACATGCAGGAAGACTGCCCATCTTTCTCCCAAGAAGCAGCTGGTAGATTCAAAACTTGGGACTTTGGAAGAGTGGAGGTTTGGTAAAGGAGAGGAAGACTCTCAACCAGGTCAACTGACATGTTGACTGCTGCATTGGGCTTTTGTGTGTCAGGAAGTATGAGGATGGCACAGGATAGAACAGGTTTTAGATCTTTTGTTCACTGGGTTACCATGAGTCATACTCAACTCAACAGCACCTAACAACGACAACAGTGCCAAAAATGTTCCTTGCTAACCACCGCAGTCCTTTCTCCTTCTATCATGATACTACCTATTTTTTGTGGAACTCTATACCCATTAGGCCACCCAGCATTCTAATCACATTGTTGTTATAGTTGTTGTTTTGTGCTGATGAACTGGAATCAACTCATCATTGTTGAAGGCCCTTCAGCAGCTTTTCAGAGGTTGTCAATCTGGGAGGATTTTGCTCACCTGAAGGGGAGCAGCTGGTGGATTTGAACCATGTGTTCTTAGGTTGGCAGCCCAACTTCTTACTACTAAGCCACCAGAACAATAATTAATGTTATAAAAGAATCTTTTTAAATATATGAATGATTATTTAAAATAAAGAGTTGTAGAAACCTGACCAGCCACTCTCAACTGCATCTTAACAGTCACAAGGTGCAGAACACACCCATGAATCAGCCTCCAGGATAGGACTGCCCCCAAGCTTTCTTAGCAACAGATACAGCGTTTATGAAAGAGATGTGTACCAGGTGTACACTCTAAGCAAATAAACTGTGACCCTCTTCAGATGGGGCATCTTCCTGGGGACCTTTGCTGAGACATTGGAGTAACCTCAGCCTTGTGACTTGCATTTGGCAAACAACAACATCACGCTCTAGCAATACTGTGCAAGAAAGCGTGACAGACACCTTATTCCATAAGACCCAGCTATTCCACTATTTGGAATATACCCTGAAAAAATGAGGACTGAGGCAGATTTGTACAAAAATTCATAACAGCAGTATTCACCATCGCATGACCAACCACAAACGAATGGATTGAAAAAGTATGGTACATTCACACAATGAAATACTACACAACACGTAGGAACAATGATTTTGTTAATTATTACCTAACTTCGGAGGGACTGGAGTGCATTATGCTGAGTGAACTCAGTCTCACAAGGATAAACACTGTATAAAGCCATTATTGTAGAATAAGTATAAGGATCCAAGGATGGGGAAGCAGAGGGATGAGGATGTGCAGGGGGAGGGAGGATTAATCATGGAGTTGTACAATTTGATGGGGGGG